TTGCAGGGGTGAGGGCCAAGTTATATGTACCAACTAGCCTAAGGGGACCCATCTTAAAGCAAGCCTATGATTCAAAAGCTGCTGGACATTTTGGGTTCATGAAAACTTTATATTTGGTCAAGCAGCAATTCTCTTCCATGCTGCAGTGAGAGCCCAGGATGGGTAGACTCCTTCTTATGACGTCATTAAGCTGAGTCTGTACTTGTATATAAAAAGCCAGACCCTGGGAGAATCCCCAGCTTTGACTCAGCTTCTTTAAGTCACAAGCTGTGTCTCTGAAAGTGTTAGTGTTTTATTCAGTGGATTTTCTACAGAAGCTACCCTTGCTTCAATCAGCTCCCGGGGATCTGGGCAGCTGCAACTTCAGGAGAGCGGGGCTCCATTCTCCTGCAATGTTGGGATAAACATTTTCCCAAGTGCTGCTAGGCAAGCAGGGAAATGTCTGAGACCTTCTCCATAGCCGCAGTTTGTCTGATCGTAAAACTGATTGGCAAACTGATAACAGAGCCAGCCAGCTGATCACGTGGGAGGCAACTCTTCCTTTTCTGGCTGATCTGATCACTCGGGGCTTGCAATAGCCTAAGGAGTGAAATTAACTTCTCGGAGCCATCAATGAGCAGCGGCCATCTTTGAGTGCAGTCTCTTCAGACATGAGGTGAGCGAACATTTTAAGTGGCCTGGCAGCCATTTTCAGGGCTCCAAAGACCCAATTCTACCCTCTGCCATCCTTAAGCACTTTTGAGAGCCATTCTCTCAACGCTTGAGCCTTGCTTATTTAAAATGGATCAGGTCAGTGCTCATGCAGAGTCCCCCCCCCAGTGGAACAGACCCTCCAACCCACTAAAAGGAAAAGATGCAGACAACGTACTGCTCAGAGGGAAGTGGCTGCAAAAATCAGAGCTAAGGCTCTAGCCCCTAAGAAGACAACTCAGGCTGAGTTGAAGGCAGAGAAATGCAGGCATGCGGCTCTAGAGAGACAATTTAACAAGACTATTCAACAAATGAGAGGGCAACTGCAACAGGTTTTCCAGCCAGCCGAACATCAGGGTTTCCAGAGAAGCCCCCCCAGGGGAGGGGAAGTTGTTCATGGAGCCTTTGGACCCCCCCCATCTGGTCCCCTGAGGCATTTGAGGAACAACCTCAGGATTTCAGCAGGTCTGGGCCATATTTCCAGTAAACTTCTGGGCCCTATGCCCCTCTCTTCCCTCCAGAGTTCAGGCCTCCCAGATCAGGCCGGAAGCCACCTTCACGCCCACTGCAGCTGGCCTTTGGCCCTCCACTACCTTTGATAACAGGCCCAGGGAGATCCAAGATGTTGTTTCCTTAGCCATTAGGCAGGGATTGGCTGAAGGTTTTCAACAGATTCTTCGGCCCCTGGAAAGGGTTCAGGCCCTTCTCCCTTCTCAGTCTATGGCTTCCTTATCTCCACAATGAGATTTCCACAGACCCCAAGACCTCAGGGTCCATTCTTTACAGGCAGAATGGGAGGAGTATGAAGGGGAAGAGGGTGCCTCCCCATCTGAACACAGTTGCTCCTCTCGTTCAGAGCGCGAAGAGGGCGTAATCTGTGATCGCAATCTTTCAGAGGAAGAAGACTCTCATCGAGATCAGCCCTCCTCTGCATTAGTCTTTAAACCAGCCCTCTTTAAACCCCTACTTAGCATGGCCCTGATCACTGCCTAGCTGTAACTTAAGGAAGCAGCACCTGAACCACAAGGGGAACCCTCCGGGCAAGGAGACTCGCTCTTCTCCAAGCCAGTAGTACACACGGAGGTTTTGCCTTCTCCTCTTTTGTTTCTTGACATGGTCAAGGAGCAGTGCTCTTCCCCTTCGGCAGGTCCTCGTCCATCATCTTTGGACAAGTCGTTCTACAATGTTAGCACATCCGTAGCCAACGCCCTTGCAGTGCCCTCAGTAGACACTCTGGTTGTGGCATCATTCTCCTCTTCTGGCACTCCCACAGCCAGAGGATGTCCTTAAACCAGAGGACAACATTCCGAACAGACCCTCAAGCGCAACCACCAAGCGGCTGCGTGGGCTGTTCGGGCTTCAACTGCTGCATTGTTTTTCACGAGGGCATCTCTACGATGGCTGCACCAACTGCAGGATCGATTGCTTGCCTCTGACCTCAGGTCTCATCAGGACCTTAACAAAATTATAGCAGCAGTGGAATTCACTGTGGATGCCACCCTCAATTTTGCCAAATTTGCATCAAGGGCCATGTCATCTTCGGTGGCGGCAAGAAGGCTTCTGGGGCTCTGAAATTGGCAGGCGGAGTCACGCTGCAAATGGAAGCTGGCCTCTACCCCCTTCTCAGGAAACAAGCTTTTCGGCGAGGCTCTAGAGCCATATCATCAAGACCAGAGATAAACGTAAAATTATTTCCTCCTCAGGGAAAAAAGCTATCGCCCAGCTCCTTATCGGCCACCTGCCTTTCGGGCAGAGTCCCCCTCCCGCTTTCCTCGGCCACAGAGGGCGTATTCTTAGCACCAAGACCAACGTCAAGAACCACCTGGCAGACAACAACCATCTGCTGGTAAACAGCCCTTTCGGGGGGAGGGGGTCGTGCCTTCCGTCTAAGTAATACCTCGTTCTCCCCACCCATCAGAGAACATTTAGTCTACTTTGCCTACAAATGGGAGGAGTCAACAACGGATGCCTGGGTGCTGAACACTGTTAGGTCAGGTTTACAATTTGAATTTCTATCGTCACCCCCAGAAATTTTTTTGACTTGTCCTGTTTCACGGGACACTTCAAAGGGAGCCCTTATGAATTCGGCCATTCAACACCTACTCGACATAAGGGCTATTCAACCATTTCCCACCTTACAATGGGGACGTGGATTTTACTCTTGTCTTTTTGTTGATCCCAAAGCCTCGGGGGGGGGGGTTGGCGAGCCATCCTTGATCTAAAATTTCTCAATCAATTTGTCAAATACAGGCAATTTAAAATGCAGACACTGCATTCTATCTTAGAGAGCATTCAGGAGGGTGACCTCCTCTCTTCCATTGATCTCACGGAGGCTTAGCTCCACATCCCCATCTGGCCTCATCATCATCAGTTTCTCTGTTTCTGTTACCAGAATGCCCACTTCCAGTATCGAGCCCTTCCCTTCAGCCTCTCATAGGCTACAAGGGTCTTCACAAAGATTCTAGCAGCATTGGTGGCTTCACTCCATTCGGTTCCAGTGAGAATCCAATGTTATGTGGATGACATGTTGATACTGTCCTCTTCCATCCACTCGGCCCATCGGGACTTACAAATTACCCTGTCTTGCCTCCAAAGCCACGGGTTTTCCATCAACACCAAGAGCCATCTCTCACCCATGACCAAACTGCTACACTGGGGAGCAGTCATCGACATGACTTTGTGCCAAGTTTTCCTGTCTCCAGATCGTGGAAAAGGCCTTGCAGAGATCATCAGCCAGATCCAAACTACTGGGGAAGATGGTCTCCTGTATTGGTATCATCCCATGGGCATGGCTTCACTCCCAATCGCTCCAATGGTTCCTGCTCCCCTTTCAACAAGCAGGAACCAGCCACTTGTCAATCAAGATCCTGCTCTCTCAAGAGGTCCAGCAGTCCCTCAACTGGTGGCTCTCCCTGTCCCTCTGGAAGGGGCTCCAATTCAAGGAACCAGACAGGCTAGTAATCACCACAGATGCCAGTCTTCTGAGTTGGGGTGCCCATATGGAGGGTCAGATAGCCCAAGGGGTTTGGTCCAGATCAGACAGCACCCATCCCATAAATTGGTTAGAGCTCAGAGCTATCTCTCTGGTTCTCAAGCATTTCAGAGCCTCGGTGACTGGCTCCCATGTTCTCGTGTTGATGGACAATATGGCCGCAAAGGCACACGTCAAGACGGGGGAATGAGATCCAAGGCACTTATGAGGGAGGCAGAATGTTTGGGGTTATGGGCAGAGAAACACCTGCTGTGGATCACATTTCCGGAGTCGACAATTCCCAAGCCGACTGGCTGAGCAGGAGTTTAGTCGACCAGGCAGAATGGTTAATTCCTCTGTCCCTATTCAGGGATCTTTCCCTCAGATTTGGAACTCCGGAGGTGGATCTCTTCTCCACTCCTCAAAATGCCCAAGTCAACAGATTCTTCACCAGGTTTCCTTGCCAGGGAGCGGAGTGGAGCAATGCCCTTCGTTGCAAATGGCCCGCGGGTCTCTTCTATGCCTTTCCCCCTCTTTCCATCATTCCGGCAGTCATACGGAAGCTGTTGGTGGAACGAGCAGAGCTAATTCTCCTGGCATATATTGGCCAAGAAGGCCCTGGTTTGCGGACCTGGTCAACCTGTCTGTGGCTTCCCTTTGGAAGATCCCGGCCCATCTCATCTCCCTGCACCAAGGGGCCCTGATCCATCCAGAGCCCCAGTGGCTCAAGCTGACCGTGTGGCGCTTGAGCGGTAGCAGCTAAGGGAAGCTAATCTCCCAGAGGGGGTTATCCTCACCATCCAGGCGTCTCGCAAACCTTCTACGAGGCACCTCTATGATGCCACCTGGAGGGTTTTCTCCCAATGGTGCCTCAACGAGGGTCTCTCTCCTTCCTCAGCCCAGTTGGCAGAGGTTCTTAGATTCCTTCAGGATGGCTTGGAGAAAGGTTTAGCCCCCAATACCTTACGTCGCCAGGTAGAGGCTCTCTTCTCCATTCTTTCATGGGGTTCGCTTCCTTCCTTGTCCCATCACCTTGGTCAGGAGATTTTTGAAAGGGGCTTCCAACCTACACCCTCCTATGGTGCACAGGTATCCTTCATGGGACCTTCACTTGGCTCTTAATGCCCTTACGAAGCCCCCCTTTGAACCCCTTAGAACAGTGTCTCTCTAATTCCTAACTCTAAAGGTAGTTTTCCTTGTTTCTATCACTTCGGCCAGAAGGATGTCAGAACTGGCCGCCCTTTCTATCAGGCAGGATCTTTACATCTTTCACAATGATAGGGTTGTTCTCTGTCTGGACCCCTCCTTTATCCCAAAGGTTAACACTTGGTTCCACCAGTCCCAAGACATTGTGTTACCTGACTTCTGTCCCCTTCCACACCATGACTTAGAGCACAAGTGGCATACTCTAGATGTCAGAAGGGCTCTTAGAATTTACATCAAGCGCACTTCCCCTTTTAGAAAGACAGAAGCCATGTTTGTCTCCTTTTCACCTTCTCACTTGGGGAGCAAGGCTTCTTCCCCTACTATTAGCAGGTGGGTCAGGATGTGCATCGCACAAGCCTACAAAGCGGTGGTTCTTCCGGTACCCCGTGGTCTAATGGTGCACTCTACCAGAAGTGCGGCCACTTCAGCCGCTTGGGCCACCCAGACATCCTTGGAAGAGATTTGCAGAGCGGCCACGTGGACATCTCCATCTCCCTTCATCAGACACTACCGTCTGGATTCCTTTGCCTTCGCGACGTTGGCCTTCGGCAGATGGGTTCTTCAGCGAGTGGTTCCACCGTCGGAGTGATTGGCCAAATGAGGACCTACCCATGGACATGCAAGCTTTGGTATGTCCCATCCTGGGCTCTCGCTGCAGCATGGAGGAGAATGGGCGTTGGTAAATTTACCTGTGAACGCCCTTTCTATCTATGTTGCGAGAGAGCCCAGCCCCTCCTTTGGTTCGTCCGGAGATGGTAAGGCATGTTAATGTATTGGATTGTTTGCTTTCAGAGACACTTCCTCAGTCTGTCAAGTATCTTCGCCAAAGCTGGGGATTCTCCCGGGGGGGCTGGCTTTTTATATACAAGTACAGACTCAGCTTAATGACATCATAAGAAGGAGTCTACCCATCCTGGGCTCTCTCGCAACATAAATAGAAAGGGCGTTCACAGATAAATTTACCAATGCCCATTCTGGTGTCCTACTTTAAAAAATGACATAGAAGCTTATATAGCTTGTTTTCCTATTTGTGCTTTGGCCAAACGGCCACCTGAAAAACCTGCTGGCTAACTACAACTTGTAGCTAGACTGACAGAAGGAGATTTCCATGGATTTTATAGTGGAATTGCCTGAAAGTGGGGGAGATAAAGTCATTTGGGTGGTTACTAACTTGTTTTCCAAGCAGGTTCATTTAATACCTTGTGTAAAAATCCTGTCTGCAAAAACTTTGGCTAAACTGTTTATTTTACATCTGTATAGGTTACATTGTGTACCTGAGTGGGTAATTTCTAATAGGGGGGTCCAATTTACATCAAACTTCTGGAAGGAATTATTGAAGCTATTGGGCTCCACCCAGGGCCTAAGCTCTGCCACCACCCACAAACCAATGGGGCTTGTGAGAGAACTGCTATTGGAACACTACCTTATAAGATGATTGGTCTGACCTATTGCCTTTTGCAGAGATGGCGTATTATAACTCGGTTCACAGTAGCACTGGCTTTATCCCATTTAAGGTAGCTTCAGGGCAGGATTTTGTGCCCATACCTGAACTTTCATAAAAGAAACCCAATGTTCCACCATTGACCAGGTGGATAATCCAAGTCCACCTTACCTGGCCATAAAGTAAATAAAATAAATAAAACCCATAAAGCCTTAGATGATGCTCATCAAGCTCATAAAAAGAAAGCTGATAAAAAGAGAGCTCCACAAAAACCATACCAAGTGGGGGACAAAGTCTTTTTGTTTACTAAGTATTTGCAAACCACGCAGAAATCTAAAAAATTGAGACCTAAATATGTGGGACCTTTCCCAATTGTACGAGTGGTGAATCCTGTAGCAGTACAATTGCAATTGCCAAAGACCCTTAGATGGATTCACCCTGTCTTTCATGTCAGTTTATTAAAACCTGAGTATACTTCCAAGCTGTGACCTGATCAGGCCCTCTCCTGTTCCTCTTTAGATCAAAAGTGAGCAACAGTTTGAGATTAAAGAAATTCTGGATTCAAGGAAACAAAGAGGTGATTCCAATATCTAGTTGTTTGGAAGCATTTCCCTCCTTCTCAGTCAGAATGGGTGAATGAGATGTTAGAGCCCCTAGGCTTATATAAGCATTTCGTTTGAAATATCCTGACAAACCTTAAATTTTGTTAAAAATATTTGATGTTATCTCTGGAATGTTTATTTTCCTATTGTCTTATTCTTTTTCTTTTACAGGGCTAAATGCCTCTTTTGTAGGAGGGCTGAATGTCAGCCTTCAAGAATTTTTCTTCTGCTTGTCTTTTTGGCTGCCATAGTAACGGGAGGAGGGAGAATAAATTGGGTTTATGGAGGGGAAGAGTGCTGTAGGCTTGAGTAGGTGAAATATAAAACTTGGGAAAACTTTGTTTATGCTTACTTGCTTACTACACAGCTGCAGCATCTTATCTATCCAGGCCAAGGTCAATGGCTAGATGTCTGAATCACCACCAATGGCTAGATGTCTGAAGATGCCCCACATGACATTATACACATCTCAGATTGGATGGCCAGTTTGAACTATTGTGGGTGGGAACATTGCCATAAACGACCTCTGTGATCATATTAAGAGCAATTGCGTTCTCTTCGCTGATGATGTAAAGCTGTTCAATACCACAGACAATACTGCTACCCTACAAAAAGATCTTGACTATGTATCAGAATGGTCAAACAAATGGCAACTTCAAATCTCAACAAATAAATGCTCTGTCTTACATATTGGCAAAAAAAATCAGAAAATAAAATACAAGCTGAATAATCAAGAACTTGTTGATGACCCAAGCTCTGTAAAGGACCTTGGAATACTCACCTCTAATGATCTAAGTGCTAGAGCCCACTGCAACTACATAGCCAAAAAGGCATTAAGAGTTGTTAACCTAATCCTACGTAGCTTTTTCTCTGGTAATATCACACTACTAACCAGAGCATACAAAACATTTGCTAGACCAATACTCGAATACAGTTCATCAGTCTGGAACCCACATTACGTATCTGATATTAGCACAATTGAGAAAGTCCAGAAATATTTCACAAGAAGAGTTCTCCACTCTTCTACTCGTTGTAGAATACCTTATGCCACCAGACTTGAAATTCTAGAACTAGAAAACCTTGAATTACGCCGTCTTCGGTCTGACTTAAGCATGGTATATAAAATCATACATTGCAATGTCCTACCTGTCAATGAATACTTCAGCTTCAACCATAACAACACAAGAGCACACAATAGATACAAACTCAAAGTAAACCGCACCAAACTTGATTGCAGGAAACACGACTTCAGCAATAGAGTGGTCAATGTCTGGAATACTCTACCCGACTCTGTAGTCTCTTCCCCAAACCCCAAAAACTTTAACCTTAGACTGTCTACTATTGACCTCACCCCTTTCCTAAGAGGTCTGTAGGGGGCGTGCATAAGCGCACCAACGTGCCTACCGTCCCTGTCCTATTGTTTCTCTTATTCTTTTATTTTTCTTATATGTACCCATTTCATGTATTCACAACTATGTATACACTTATACTTATTATCTTGTAAACAATTGGCAAATCAAATAAATAAATAAATAAATAAATAAAACTTAGTATATGTGATTTTCGAGCCTAATGCCTCAGATCTTGAATTATTTTGATGCTACCACTTGATTTCCAGTAACAATGGAGACTAATGGTTTCTCTATATAACAATGGAGACTAATGGTTTCTTTCTTGGATTTTGAATGGAGCTTCACCTGACAGATTGGTGCGCACTTGGATCAGTGCCTCTTCTGCACAAGCAAGCCTCTCTCCGGAGCAACCATGGGGAGGAGGTGGACTTGGAGGGAGTTGGAAGGGGTGGGGGGGGGTGACTTGTTTACACTGCCAAGCATTGGAATTCCCTGTGGCAGAGAGAAAAGTGACGAGGGTCCTTCCTGGCAGCCGCAGCTGATGCATCGGCCGAGACGTGGAGATCACCACTCGCTTACTCACCCCAATTGTCCTGGAGCGAGACACCTGGGTTCTCACCCTACCACCAGAGCAAGTTGTTTGGAGATGGCATTTGGGGTGAGTTTGCTCATTACTCCTCCACCCCCTTCCCCATTTCTTGGGTCTTTCTTTTGTTTCACACTCCTGCCTGCCCAGGAGGCTTCCGTGGTTGGAAAGAAAAGAAAAAGACAAACAGGAGGAGAGAGAAAGAAAGAAAAAGAGAGTGAGAGTGAGTAATCAGAAGCTTTTTAACATTTGTGCCCAGCCTGAGAGGAGGATATAGAGACCCCCTTACCTGTCTTCTCATCCCCAAGTTTTCTTTTCTCCCATTCATTCTCTTTCTCTCCACCCCAACCTCCTGAGAGTGAGGCAGTGCTGGTTTGAATGGAAGTTTTCTTGACCCTGGAAGGGACAGCAGGTTTGCATGGGTTTGGGCTCGGCTCCAACTTGTTTGGGAGAAGCATCGCTCTGAACTCTGCGCTGCTTTGGCGATGGTTGCGTCGCCCCGTCAGACCAAGCATGTGGGTGGGGTATCCGCTGAATCTCGGAGAGGTGTATTTAACTGGAGGTGCCTCCGGCTCATTGAGAATGTCCCCTTTATTCCCACTTGTGAAGCCTCTGCCCGCTGTCCCCCTGCTCCCATCTCTATTCCTTTTCAGCCTTGTCAAGAGAAGGGGGTTAGCCCCCACCCCTCCAACCTCAGCTAACCAGCTTCGAGGCTGGAAATCCTTTACTTTTGCCTTCTCCCATCCCTGGGGAAGGAGGAGGAGAAGGAAGAGGTGAGGAGAACCACCCTGAAGCAGCAGATACTCTTCCCCTCCAAGGGCTGGACTTGGTCCCACTGGAAATGCAGTAGTGGCAGGGCAGCAATTCAGCTGATGTGGCAGACTGTTTGAGCCGGCAATGGCAGGCCATTCGGAGCAGCAATGCAGTGGCAGTGGTAGGCTGTTTGGGGTGGCAATGCAGTGGTGGTGGTAGGACATTCGGGGTGGCAATGCGGTGGTGATGGTAGGCCATTCAGATTGGCAATGCAGCCAATGGGGCAGGCTGTTTGAGCTGGCAATGGCAGGCCATTTGGGGTGGGAATGCAGCCAATGCAGCAGGCTGTTTGAGTCAGTATTGGCAGGCCTTTCGGGGCAGCCACGTGGTAGTGGTAAGCCTTGCTGTATGTCCCTCCCACAGCCCCTTTGGCCGAGCATGGCAGG